TTTTTTTTTTTTTTTTTTTTTTGACCACATGTAGACAAAGCTTTGATTTTTGGAGGACCAGATTTTGGCCCCTTGTGACCCAGTTGGATTAGAGGGGGAAAGATCTTTGTTGCCTCTGGGATGTGAAGACAGAGGATTTCAGTGCACTGCCATAACATCTTTACGACTGTGATAAACAGCGCCTGGTTAGAAGCACTTACAACCTTTTAAACCTGCATAGAACCACTGCAACTTCAGTGAGCGAGGATAGGAGAATTTGATGCGTGTTTTGTGCAAAAAAGTGTGCAGAATTATTTTCGAAAATAGCAACAACCTTATATATAGTAAGAGAGAGTTATTGGCTCATAATATGAGCTATCTCTGTATCTTGTAACATGATAATACACACTGCATACTATTTTGTTGTTGCTGTTTTCACAAAAAGTTTTACTTTTAGAGCAATTCAAAGTACGTCACTTTAAAGTTTTCGGGATAAAATAGATGCATTCTTAACGGTTCTGCACTTTGTAATGTTTACCTTACCTCACATTTAGATTTCCAGTGCAACATCTAAGCTGCTGTATTTTAGAATACTGTACATAAACTAAACTACTCCATCTGCTCCTGACTAAACTGAGCATTTTTGGTTAAGCTACAGAAAACAAATTCTGTATTGCATGCCCTGGGTTGTAAAATCGAATTTGAGCATGAATTGTAGTAAACATTTACAGCAAAAACAATTTATGTTGAATTCTGCAGGAACTTAAAGCCTTCCCACTGTCGTAAATGGCACAGCAGCATTATTTTAACATTAAATGGACAGCAAAACGTTGATACTTCAACAACAAACATTTTAGAGTGTAATCCATGTTCAGGAACTGGAACATCCTTGGATTTTCCATCATGTTTAATATACTGCAACCGGATACAAGAGGAGGAAATTATTATTTTTTTCTTCATGTAATTCCTAAAGCTTTGTGGAGCTATATGTGTGCAGGCTTATATCTCATATAGTCTGGGGGATTTTGGTGGCTCTTTCTGTCGGAAAACGTCTCCTTTTAGGACCAAGCGGCCCTCCTCTCGACCTCCATGCTGGCTCTGGCAAGGTACCAAGTAGCACAAGTGCCGACTAGCCAATAGGGTTCAGGGGGAGGTCCCTGAGCTCTGACCAGTCAAACACACTCTCCTTCCTTATATGGCAGCCGATCTCCATGGTAACGTGTGCTAAGTTGCAGCAGTCGTGTCAAAGTTCACTATATAGAGAGCTCAGTGAGCTGATCAGAGAGAAAGCATTCTGCCAGCCCGGCTCCTACCAATCGCAAATCACTTCCTAACCTCCGCCTTTTTAACATATTTGATCACTTTGATTCTCCGCTGCTTTTTCCTATTATTTTTCAACGCACGGAGGAGGTTTTGAAGGTTGTGATCTTTGTTTTTTTTTTTTTTTTTTTTTTTTTTTTTTTTTTAGGTTTCTTGTTTTTACTGCTTTTGGTTTTTGGAGGGGGAAGAGAGTTGTCTTCATATTCCAAGCTCTCAAAACACAGAGCTTCAGCTGCGCGCTTGCTTGGCGCAACCTCACAAGGAGGAACGGGAAGAAGACGCTGCTTATTCTGATTTTTTTATTTTTTTTTATTTATTTATTTATTTTTTTTTTTTTGTCATCATTTGGCTGGTTTTCTTCAAGACTTGTGCTGGAACTTGATAGTAGAGCTGCTACAGTGTGTGTGTTTTCGTGCGTGCTGCTGTTGGGAGCCTGCTCCATCATACCCAGAACAGTCCCATGCTACCTCGGTTGGTTCTTTTTGACATATTCAGCCTACCTTTCCTCCCACTGATGGGTGTGCTGGATGGCTGACTGTAAGCGCCCCTGGACTTGGCCTTTAAGCGCAAGGCAGCCGCTCAGCTCGCCGTCGCATCAGTTTTGAAAGCGTGCCTCCCCGGGCGTCTCCAACAGCAATAAAGCCGACAGTTTTCGGGAGATCCGGAGTGGATCCAAACGCCAGGCTGTTACAGTCCCCCGAGTTTTTCCTTGAGACATTCTCCACCGCGGGCAGCAAACACGGCAGACAAAAAGTTTCTCTCCGTTGACTGATAGATATGGCAATGGTAGCGTGGAGAGGCTCCCAGGACGATGTGGCTGACACCCAAGGCGCCCTTTCCTCGCAGACCCAAGGAGGACTATCCCTTCCCACCCCTCAGCCGGGCCAGCTGAACCTGACAGCCTCCCAGATCGCCCCGCCGACCCCTCAGACTCCGGTGCAGGGACCTCCGAACAACGCGCAATCCACGCCGACGAACCAGACGTCGCAGCAGCAGTCGGAGAAGCAGCCGCAGCACATCGAGTGCGTGGTGTGCGGGGACAAATCTAGCGGCAAGCACTACGGCCAGTTCACCTGCGAGGGCTGTAAGAGCTTCTTCAAGCGGAGCGTACGGCGGAACCTCACTTACACATGCCGTGCCAACAGGAATTGTCCGATCGACCAGCACCACCGCAATCAGTGTCAGTACTGCCGCCTCAAAAAATGCCTTAAAGTCGGCATGAGACGGGAAGGTATTGGGATTTTTTGGTTTTCCTAATCCGTGTGTGTGCTTGTGCGTTTGCAGACCACCCGACACGAACGCTTAGGCTATTATGTCGTCCTCCATAGTCCTATTCTCCTATTCTTCCAACCCCCCCGACTGCTCCATGCAAGGGTGTGCGGCAGGAGCAGGCAATGGAGCCGCTCTCTGTGTTGTGCTGGAGACCAGGCTTTCTTTCTCCGCCTCACGTCCAGCTCCACGCAGAGCTGCATTTAAAACAATACAAAAATGGCCGTGGTTTTGTCATTTTTATTATTATTACTATTATTATTAATAATATTATTGTAATTCAATTCGTGTGCAGACAGCACTATGAATAGATGTTACATTACATAGCCTCCTGCGCTGATATGGCGAATTATGGGATAGCGTGCTCTGGCTACATCTCTGTCGCTTTATTTTATTTCTCTCTAAAGCTGGACATTACCGTAAAACGTGCCCCGCAAAACAAATGGAAGAAAAGCCCTGGGAAATATGTACATATAAGAAATAGCGAAAGTATAGGCCTGCGTGTGTGTGTAAAATGGAGATGGATTGCTAAGTAGGTTAAGGGTTAAACATGCAAGGTCTGTCTTTGTGTTTCCTTCACAGCCAGCTAATGCTGCTGTAGCTGATAGAAAAATGTGTGCAAAATGGCACATTTTATTATTCGGAGCGTAATGTGTTTTATTACAGCCGTATGGTTGTGTGCGTTAAACCCAGTGAGTGTGTGTGTGTGTATGTGTGCGTTGATGGTAAACTGTAAACATGCTGTTTTTAAAATGTATTTTCTCTGCACTTTTAGTCTACATTTCTGTATTTCTAAAAGGACATCTCTGATTTAGTAGAATTCAGGCTTCAATATCTGTAGTTTCTCTTTTTACTGCAGCCGTGCAAAGGGGACGGGTGCCACCCACACAGCCACACCACGGTCAGTTCGCCTTGACAAATGGAGACCCACTCCACTGCCATTCCTACTTATCCGGATATATCTCTCTTCTGCTGAGAGCGGAGCCCTACCCGACGTCCCGCTACGGCAGCCAGTGCATGCAGCCCAATAACATCATGGGCATCGAGAACATTTGCGAGCTGGCGGCCAGGATGCTCTTCAGCGCCGTGGAGTGGGCCAGGAATATTCCCTTCTTCCCGGACCTGCAGATCACAGACCAGGTGGCTCTGCTGAGGTTGACGTGGAGTGAGTTATTCGTACTCAACGCCGCGCAGTGCTCCATGCCCCTGCATGTGGCTCCTCTCCTGGCGGCGGCTGGCCTCCACGCCTCCCCAATGTCGGCGGACAGAGTGGTGGCCTTTATGGACCACATTAGGATCTTCCAGGAACAAGTGGAGAAGCTCAAAGCTTTGCACGTTGACTCTGCCGAATATAGCTGCTTAAAGGCAATTGTGCTCTTCACCACAGGTAAGAACAATAGACAAGCGCAGTCAAAGTTCACAGAGTGCGTTAATGTCACTAACCTGCACACACTGACACCAGCCAAAGCAACGCTGACCCAAATATGTATCTGCAACTGGTTTAAGGCTGTTGCACGTGTGACATCAGCTTAAAGCTCCAGTGTTGCAGTCACTCAGCTGCTTTTTGGATGTACTCACCTATTGAAATAAATACACAATTAGAGAACTGATTTATAAGACACACTGGGGTGCGGTGACAAGGAAACAGTCTCCCTTAAACACAACCCTTAACAGTTGCCATAAGCATCATAAAAATCTATAATACAACATCAAATAACCTGCAGATTTTTTTTTCCTCCAGCCATTTATCAATGTGTTTATACCTCACGTCTTGTTTGTAGGAAATGACAGATATAAATGATGTCAGGCTCCAAAAGGAGAAGGGGGAGGGAGCAGGCAAGGAAAGACGAGCCTTAACGTCCCATTTGCACAACGTATATGAGAGCAAAGCGAAGGTTTTCAGCGCTCTCATGTCATCGAGAGACATGTGAGACAAAAACGCGCAGGAGTCTTAAGTAAACTGTAATCGCAAAAAAAACAAAAAAAATCCATGCCTCTCTCATGCAGCAGAATGTGATATTGAGCAGTGATTGCATTATTATTATTATTATTATTATTATTATTATTATTATTATTATTATTATTATTATTATTATTATTATTATTAATTAATTAATTTATTTATTTATTTATCAATTAGTAGGCGGTTGTGCGCCTTTTTTTTTTTTGAAACGGGGTTTTCGAGGCCCTTCTGGAGTCGCTCCAGGAGCGGGGTCATGACCCAAACTTCCTCCAGCTATTTTCTTACATTAGCCGCAGCTAGAGACGAGACAATGCAGGAAAAGCAGCAAACTAGACTCTAAACGAGACCTTGCAAGCCACCAGCCTCTGTGGTCCGTGGTTTGCTATTGTCTTGGCATTTAAAAGAAATATCACATTTTCAGCTCGTTGAACTTTAGTATTAGGCTTTTATAGAGCTATCAAGCCACAATTTGTCTTCTCCGCATACCTGAGTCCCAACTGAACATGAGCTGTAAGCTTGAATGACACGCCTTTTTGCTTCCTCGGTGGTTTGCTTGTTGTCATGCATAAACTTTACAAACTTAACCAATGCGCGTACAAGTGTTTTTTGGCACATTATCAGCTGCCGCCCACATGCAACAGCAGCGCAGATCCACATTATGAGTCTCTGACGGTATAGTATGACGGCTATTCCGTAGGCTATGAGCCCCCTCTCTTTTTTTCTGCTTTTGCTTAAATCTCAGCTCACTAAAGGTCAGTAGGTCTCCGTGTCTTTCCCTATTCCCCCCCCCCCCCACTCACCCCCCTTCACCCCCCTTCTCTCTTTGCTCCGAGAAAGATGGGGCCATCAGAAAAAAAAAAAAAATGCGTTCAACGATGAATATGCTTAATTATTTAGTTCGCCTTTTAAATGGCTGCAGTCAGAGAAACATAAAGCGATGAAAGGAGAAGGCAGAGATGGCTTTTTAATCATCTGCCTTTACGATGATGACGTGTTGTGTGTTACTTTATTTTTTGCTTTTTTAAAAATATCATAATATATAGTCAGGCGGAGTTATTATCTACAGTACTTTGTAAAAAAAAAAAAATAATTTAAAAAGATTTGTGTTGTAGATATTTTAAATACATATTTTGCATTTGAAAAATATTTATTTTAAAGCTATTTATTATATCACCTCAGTGGTGACCAAGCTCCTGGTGAGAGGAACACTTTATTAATGATTATTTGCTTTCCCCCCCCCCCCCCCCACTCCCCGCCTCCCTCCCTCTCAGATGCTTGTGGCCTCTCAGATGTGGCCCATGTGGAAAGTTTGCAGGAGAAGTCCCAGTGCGCCCTGGAGGAATATGTCCGGAGCCAGTATCCCAACCAGCCAACACGGTTTGGGAAGTTGTTACTCCGCTTGCCTTCCCTCCGCACAGTCTCTTCCTCGGTCATAGAACAGTTATTTTTCGTCCGATTGGTAGGTAAAACCCCCATTGAAACTCTCATCAGGGATATGTTGCTGTCGGGGAGCAGTTTTAACTGGCCTTACATGTCAATTCAGTAAAAACCAGGAGAGAGACGAACTTGAACGGGGGGGGGGGGGGAGGGGGGGGGGGCTCCAGGGGGGGGGGGGGACGGGGGGGGG